TTATGAAAGACAGTCCCCCAAACTTAATTTTTAGTTGCTGTTGTTGAGTTGGAGTCTCACTCCTGTCACCCAGACTGGAGTGCAGTGGCCACTCCTGGGCCACCGCAGCCTCGACCTGCTGGGCTCTGGCGATCCTTTCCACTTCAGCCTTCCAAGTAGCTGGAACTACAGGCGTGTGCTACCATGCCCGGTTCATTTTTATTTTATTGTAGAGATGAGGTCTCGCCAAATTGCCCAGGCGGGTCTCGAACCTGCAGGCTCAGGCAGTCCACTCACCTCAGCCTCCCAAAGTGCTGGGATTACAGGCTGAGCCACTAAGCCTGGACAAACTTAATTTTAAAGTAACCATAGAACTGCATCAGCAGAGGTTGATTTGGGATGTGGAGAAGGAAATATTTTTCCTTGGAAGTATTAGCCTCAAAAATTCTGGACTAAGAGGGATAAAATGCAGTTCATTTTTTTATTCATATTTGCAGAGAATATACTCACAGTTTCTCAGTCCAGGGGTATGCTCTCCATGCATTTTTTTCAATGGAGGAGATAGCATTTCCTCGGAAATTTCTGTGAAGAAACAGAGTTCATATCCTTTAAGAAGTAGAAAAAAATGATGGAACAGAACAAGTAAAAGAATCATGGCCACCTTGTGGGGGATATGAAAATGCTGAAAATAATGCCTGTTTCTGATTTCCAGTTTCAGCTGCCCAGTTGGCACCATTAATCAAGACCTAACACGAGGCCACCCGCACCATGAGGCACACCCGCCCCCACTCTTGAACCGTTACTAGACCCTGTCTGGGCTTCTTCTGCGGTGCTTCCCACTCCCATCACAGCCCATCTGGCTTGGCCCCTTCTCTCTCACTCCTAGACTTTTCGAGAGCTTTCTATTTGGTCTCCCTGGATTAAGCTTTCCCCTCAGATCACTCCACACATGGATTATTAAATAATCCTCCTGTTTTAGTCTCTATCTTTCTTGCTTGAAAACTTTTTAAGTTGGGTCTCACTCTGTTGCCCAGGCTGGAGTGCAGTGGCACGATCTCAGATCACCGCAACCTTGACCTCCTGGGTTCAGGTGATTCTTTCATTTCAGCCTCCCAAGTAGCTGGGACTATAGGAACATGCCACCATGCCCAGTTAATTTTTTTTTAGAGAGAGATGAGGTCTCACTATGTTACCCAGGCTGGTCTCGATCTCCTGGGTTCAAGCTATCCTCCTTGGCCTCCTCCAAAGTGCTGGGATTACAGGTTTAAGCCACCACACCTACCCTTTGCATGAAAACTTTCAATGGTTCTCCATACCTCACCATACAACCTTCAAACTCCTAGAGCTGATATTCAAGGTTTTTCAGAGTATCTTACTGTGTCTCACCCAATTCCTTGCATAGAGACTGGTCTACTAACTCCCCACCTCACTTGCAGCCACCTAGCTGTCCTCTGTGTTTTTTCCCTATTGAACAAGTGAGGTGTCTGCTCATCCACAAAGTGTCCCCGAGCTCCACTCAGCAACGGCAGACCCTGGTGAGTGACAGTACCTGCAGTCGACCTCTCCTTTCGTGCTCCGTCCTACACACCACCTCCCCCTTTATGCCTATTCCCTTTCTTCCCTCCTGTCATTTTCATGTCCTGGAGACTGTCATATTTACCTTGGCTGGGCCCCAAATGGGCGCTACATACTAAAAGCTAGGGACAAAGATGAGTTCTGGGCATAACTAAAGGACTGAGTAGTAATATTAAGAACTAACATTCCTATATGTGCTGGACACTGACATGCGTATTACCCATATTCACTCACCTAAGTCTCACAGCAATCCTGTGAAATGGATTGTTATGATTGTTGTAACTATCATAACCCCCATTTTAAAGATGAGGAAACTGAGTCAAGAGCTGAGTAACTTGCCCAAGGTCACAAAGCTAATGAATAACAGACCTGGCTTCCAACCCAGGCAGTCTGTCTCTAGGTTCGACTCTTTTTTTGAGTCAGGGTTTCACTCTGTTGCCCAGGCTGAAGTGCAGTGGCATGGTCACAGCTCACTGCAGCCTCCAACTCTGGGCTCAGGTGATCCTCCCGCATCAGCCTCCCGAGTAGCTGGGGCTACAGGCAAATGCTACTACGCCTGGCTAATTTTTACATATTTTTTGTAGAGACGAGGTCTTCCTATGTTGCCTTGGCTGGTCTCCAATTCCTGGGCTCAAGTGGCCCTCCCACCCTGGCCTCCCAAAGTGCTGGGATTACAGGCGTGAGCCACCATGCCCAGCCAGGATCTCCTCCTAACCACTTTGTCGTGCATCACTAATGAGATGATGAGAGGGACATGCTCCGGCAAAGAGGGCGAGGGTGCAGCAGAGCTGAGAGGAGAGCAGAGGGGAGGCCATGCCATGAAAGGAGGAAGAGCAATCGCAGGTGAGAAACAGGAGATGGCACAGCAGGAAAAGCGGGGAAGGGAGGGAGGAGCTGGCAAGCCAAAGGCAAGAGCAGAAAGGCAGTCGACAGGGTCTGGGAGGACAGAAGGCCCAGGAAGGCCTCCGGGGAAAGGCGGCCACGTCAGGCAGGAAGCAGAGCGTCGTGAAAGGCGAGTCTTACAGGGTGGTGAAGGTGCCGTTGTAGGTGCCGGGCTCCAGCACGGGCACGTGGTGGAGCCTCTGCTGTGGGCTGAGATCAGCGCAGGACAAGGTCTCATCTCTGCAGGAACAGAG